CATACAGCACTGAAGGAGGCTTATATAACATATCAAATTTCAATCCCATTTATTTTGTAATTTATCTGAATCAGAGTGGTTTAAAAACTAGCATAATAACTAACAGCAAAAACAAAAACCATAGATTCCTCTACTCTCTAAAAAATAAATTCTATACTGACATTGTCCGTACACCTTCAGTGGATATTTGTGCTCAGAGGCATCCCTTCAAACATGGTTGGGAACACACAGGTTTCATATAAACCCTAGTTTCTCTGCAGTCCTTCAACAACCGACTCCCCTGGCTCCCAAATTTTGGCAATAAGTCACAAAATTCAGCTGCGTGGGTTTTTAAAATTGATTGAAAAAATATGACATAACATAGATGCAACTAGGCTTAACATATGGATTATCTAAACCCCTTCAGAAGTCCTTCATTCATGACAAAAGAGAAATATCCTGTTCTTGCCCAAGGAGAGGAAACTGTTTTGTAGATCTGTTTTCCAAAGCATTTCTTTTGTGGGCGTTCTTCTTATGTGTAAGTGGGTGTTACTAACATGTGGCAACAGTTAAACTCAGTTGCAGCCAAAATAATCCCCAACCCAATATGATTCATAAGATGGAAAAAAGTGCATGGTACGGGTGAACTTGGAGAAGGTCATCCATCCGTAGCTTTAACACAATCCATCAGTTGTATGTGTCCCCCTATATTACCTCTTAAGGAGTGTGGCTCTTGAGGAAAAAAATGTGTTTTTAAGAGCAAAATTAATTGTCAGGGAATTTTGCAAGAGGAATAGTGCTGATCTCCATTTGTAACTTCCCTATTTTGTTCCAGCATTTTTTCTCTTATGTTATTTACATAAATGCAAATTGTTTATATTAAAGAAGAAAAGATGGAATTGCTGCCCATTGCCCTTAGCTGTAGGAGCCCTCCGTATTAGCTTGGAAGTCTAAAAAGAATGTACTGAATACACAGGCCCTGGATACAAATCTTGTAAATTTAAAATATAATCAAATTTAATTAAATCAAAATGAAATTACTCTTTAAAATTCATAAAAATCAACATGTTTTCCTTCTCTTTGCAGTTTGCTGACAATGGAGAGAACTTTGTGCTCTATTTTGAAATGTCCTTGCATTTCTTAATGAAGATGTAATATAAGGGGTTTTTTTTTTCAAGTGTCCATTTCAATCTGCCAGGCACCTGGTAGCATTAAGAGTTTGTGGAATGCAAAGTGTTAGGAGGCCTTTAGTTGGCAAGGCAGGGAGTAAGGAGTCTGAGACAGACAGTGCTATTCTGTAGACATAGCAGAGGTGCCATCAAGGGTCACCCTGTAAAATGGGTAGCAAGCAGTTGGTAATGATAATATGGTGTGAGGAAAAAAAATCAGGATTTGAACCTTGGGTCAGAAAAGCAGAGAGAGCTAGATTCTTAGACCCTGTATAATTTGACCTTCGTCATAATTAGAACTGCTTGGTATCTGCTATAAAGTTACTTATTTATCCAAGCATTGTCCTTGGTTCCTTTTGCTAAGGCCATTAATATATTCTGTGTTCGAAAATGGGAATTTTTGCCATGTCTAAGGTACATTTCCTTGTCTGTTTTCTTCTGGCCACATAAAGCTCCGGCCTGCAAAATAGGCTGGATACATGTTTGCTTTGCATGTTTGTACTTCAGCCTTCATCTTGACAACAATCAGATCTAGAGTAGAGACAATTAAGAGTTTTAGCTCCATGGATTAAAGAGTTTACAATGGAAAGATGCAATCTATCCATCTATGTTTAGGGAGTAGATTGTTGCTTCAGGAAGGAGAAAATAATTTCCTCAACATAGGAGCAGCGGAATTAAGACATTGTGAACAAGTCATGACCCACAATTTTTGTGTTTTATCTATTTTTTTCCCCAATAGATATTAATGATATTTTTACTGTACCTTGTAAATTATTCAGCACCATGAAAGGAATGGGCAGCACACACATTCTCTAAAATAGTAGGGTATCAGTAGTATCAGTTAGATTTAAACAGTTGTAAGACTATGATTATAATCAGTTTTTCATGCTACTTGTTTCATTTTCACTTACTCATACCTAGCATTTTTTAATTTATCTTTCAGGCTGACCAAATTACTGTTAGGTTGCATTCAGGTAGAACACTTGGAAAGGAGGTCATATTTGTCTAGTGAAAGTGTCCAATCTGTGCAGGTTCTACACAGTCCGATAATACTTTCAGCCTACCTTTATAATTTTAAAGTGGGAGTCTATGTCTGTCAAACACAACATTTGATAGACTTTTCTATTCATCTTTGAAAATATATGTAGACTTCAATTATTTGGTCAGCTGTTTATTTGAAACTTTCACTGCTTAAAATGAAATAATTAAAATGATCAAATAGCATTGTTTCATTTTTGGATTAATGCTGCTTAATGTGCTTTTTTTTTTCTCCCTGAGATGGAAATATATGTGAAAAATAATTAATGCTTGTATGGGGCGAATCATCCTTGCAACCAAGGGAAAGCTTTTAAAAAGTACAGTACAATATGATTCCAGCCTGCACCCAGTTTAGATAGTGGCACACCTCTCTTCTAACCAGACACTTGATAATCTGGTAGACAAGCAGGATTTGATATGAAAATCTGTATGTCTTTATTTACTGTGTGGGGTAGAACAGGAATAGTTTCATATTGCTGATACCGAGATGCAATACTTTCCCATATAGTCAAAGTTTGGGCCCCCATGAAAGTCAAAACAAACTACAGGCCTGTCAGCCAGGGGTGTCTGCAAGCTACTGCTTCTTTAGTCAGAATGATGAAAGTGGGGTTGTGATGCTTTTGGGGAATGCGTGCAATGCCTTGATGCATGGAGAGGAGGGGAGGGGCCTCTATCAGGATGCTATGATGCTGACACACACACTGTCCCCTGCATGGAAGCTGCCAGTATCAGCCTGCTGTAAGCAGATTGTGCTGGATTTTTTAAACAGAGAGTAAAGAAGCAAACAGAAATTATTTTGGGATTGGAATCCAGATTCTCCACAAACCATCTCCATGTCCTAACCTCTGTTTTTGCCTCCATCATCTCTTGAGAATGAAGCATCTTACAGCTAGAAAATATAATTCATAACAAGCTGTCGACCTGCACTGATTACTCTTATAGAAGCTCATGTAATATCCTTTTAAAGCTTTGAGATCATGTTTAACACAGTGTTAGAAGGAGGTTAGAAGGGCATGTAGTAATTCTGTGGTGGTTTCTTTTGTAATAGTCACCCCAAGAATGTGAACTTACTGCTTGGAAGATAGAGATCAACTGCACGTATGCAGGTAGTTGGTTCATCTTGGTTGATAAAATCAGCTGCATAGAGACTTGCTCTATGGATTCTGGATTTATTTAACATCTCTGTAGAAAAAAAGGTACCATTCTGGCACCTTGGAAAGAAACAGCATGAGTGTATATGTGTGTGTATAAAAGCTCAACCCAGATGATAATTACTAAACCCAATTTAAAGGGCTCGTGTTGACCTTAAACATCCTAAATGACTGAGCATTAAATTATTTTAAAGGCAGCCTCCCCTGGTGTGAATCCACCCAACATGTAAGATGAGAATGATCACAGCCTCTGATCCTTTTCATAAAAGTGTGTTAATAAGTGGCTGCCACATGATTGTGGGGCTCCATTTCTGCTATGCTCGCTCTCTAAATATTTTTAGAAAAGACTAAAGACTTGTTCCAGGCAATGCTGCTTTTAATTTCCTGTTGTTGGCTTTTAAAATGTTTATCACTGTCCAGTCTGCTTCTCATGTGTACTTTGTGTTTTGCTGTTTTCTGGGCCTTTAATTTTTTAATCTTGATTTGATTTTTTTTTCTTTTGCTACATCTTTTTAGGTTTGGTTTATATGTGTCTGTGTGTGTGTATACATAGACACACACAAGCTACAAATAAGAGGAGTCAGTCCCCACCCTCCCAATGTTAGGATGTTTTCATGCAGTTTATTGAGTTGATTTCAGCTTAAGGAGAGACTTGTCAGGAGAGACAGGGACTGCTTAACACTTGCTGCCCTTACACATTCTTTCTTCACAAATGGCTCCATGTTAGGTTTATAGAACATGAATGTGAAATCCATGCCTGTCATGTAAGAGACTACTCTACTGCATCCGCTAGCCCAGATGGATTAACAAATGGGCGATGAGGAGCTTATTTTAAACAATTTTACATTGGCCCAGCCAGTGTGAGAATTAATAAGTGAGACGCTGCCCTTCTTTGCTTTTGGTTGATTCCCCCATCCTGAAATCAGATATAGACTGCAGTAGATTAATAGATAGGATACATATTTATTCTGATTACATTTCTGGTTTCTTTTTAGTTTTAATCTTAAATCTGGGGTGGGGTCAGGTTGTGGAAATGAGAAACAAACCCAAACTTTTCCTCCTGTTTCCTCTCTTCGCTCTTTTACTTTTTCTTGCATCTGTAGAAAGCACTGTAGGTAAAATATCTAAACAGGACAAAATAGAAGGGAGTGATTATTTTCCACTGTGCTCTAAGTGATTTGACCTCTGGTTGATATTTCCAGCTGTATGTATTCTGCAAATAGGATTCACATAAGGTTGTAATCCAAGCTCTATGGGAGTAAATTTGCATGTTGGCAATTCTCTGCTTACTTTATTTTACTGAAATACATTTGGCCTAGATTACTGAAATATTGATTTCATCTTCACAGATGATTGCCTGTAAACAGACAAATGATTTTTAATAAGGAACTCATTTTTTAAAATATTTAGGTGCTGATTATAAAACTGAAGAGGCTGTGAAATTATTCATTTTAAGATGAATCATAAGCCACAGCTTTATACATTAAATGATATGTTTATTTGTTCAGTGTTATCTTTTTATTTGTTGAACAATTTTAATTAATTTAATAATTTTTTATCATTTTTCATAGTTTCCTACTGCCAATTCATACTCCATTATTGTACTTATTAAAAAGTTTAAATCATTGCAAAATGACATTAAGTTTGTTTTGTTTTCTTACAGTGGAATCTCGTATGTGACAATGACTGGAAAGCTCCCCTAACTACATCTTTGTTCTTTGTGGGTGTGCTGCTTGGATCTTTTATATCTGGACAACTCTCAGACAAGTAAAGTACACATACTTAAAAACAGTTTTTTCGGGTGTGGGTTTTAAACATATTTTTGTAGTGCTCTTTAGAGGATGCAGAATCATGCTTAATTTGATGGTTAATTCCAGCTTTGAAAATATGAACTGAAATCAAACATTCATGGGAATATACAGCACTGTGCAAAAGTTTTAGGCAGGTGTTAAAAAATGCTGTAAAGTAAGAATGCTTTCAAAAATATATATTGTAATTGTTTATGTTTATCAATTTGCAAAGCGAGCTAACAGAAGAAAAACCCAAATCAAATCAATATTTGGCGTGACCACCCTTTGCCTTCAAAACAGCATCAATTCTTCTGTGGGTACACTTGCTCACAGTTTTTGAAGGAACTCGGCAGGTAGGTTGTTCCAAACATTTTGGAGAACTAACCACAGATCTCCTGTGGATGTAGGCTGCCTC